CCATATTGACTAGTGGCAGAATCATAACCATAATTGAAATTATCACCATGATCGTCTATTAATTTACCCACAACCACAGAACCTTCTTCACCAGCATTATCGACAATAGTTTTTGCAGGCTTTTGAAGAGCAGTTTTTATAATATTTACGCCTAATTGTTGATCAAAATTCGAGGGTTTTAAGGATTCTAAACATTTAATAGATTTCAAAAAGGCTACACCACCACCAGGTACAATTCCTTCCTCAACAGCTGCACGTGTTGCATTCAAAGCATCAACAAAACGATCTTTTTTTTCATTGACTTCAACTTCAGAAGAACCACCTACACGAATAACAGCAACCCCACCCGATAATTTTGCAAGTCTTTCTTGTAATTTTTCTTTTTCGTAATCAGAAACAGTAGGATCATTAATAGCAGCACGAATTTGATCACAACGTTGATTAATATTTTCTTTAGAACCTTCACCATTAAGAAGAATGGTATCTTCTTTAGTAATAGTGACAGAGCCTGTAGAACCATAATGTTCTGGTGTAGCACGTTCCAATTTTATATCCAAATCATCCGAGAAAACAGTACCACCGGTCAAAATAGCTAGATCACCTAAAATAGATTTACGATTATCACCAAATCCAGGAGCTTTAACAGCAACAACTTGAAGATTTCCACGAAGTTTATTCAATATGCAAGCAGCCAAAGCTTCACCATCAACATCTTCAGAAATAATAAGAAGTGGTCTACGTTGTTGAGCAGCAGCTTCCAAACTTGGAAGAATATCTTGTAATACCGAAATTTTCTTTTCAGAGAGAAGAATAAGAGGTTTTTCAAATTCAACTTTTTGAGTTTTAGTATCAGTTATAAAATAAGGAGAAATATATCCACGATCATGGTGATAATTTCAATTATGGTTATGATTCTGCCACTAGTCAATATGGTGATATGATTGCACGTGGTATTGTGGATCCATTAAAAGTTGTAAGAACTGCTCTTGTTGATGCCTCTGGTGTTGCAAGTTTACTAACAACAACAGAATGCATGATTACTGATGCACCTGGTTTGTAAATTCCAACTTTCTTTGTTTTTTTTTTAATCTTAAACTTTATATAACGAGAATTTATTTGATTTGCAGATGAAAACAAAGGTGCTGGTCTCGGTGCTGGTGCTGGTGGTATGGGTGGTATGGGAGGGATGGGAATGATGTGATAGAAAAAAAAAATTCAGATTAACATGTAAAATAAAACATAAATTCATTTCATATTAAAAAAAAACCTCATTCTCAATCTCTTGACTTTAATTAAAAGATGTTCTTTTATTAAAAAAAAAGTATTTCAATATTTCAATTTATTTTAAAGATTCTATCTGAAATAAATCAAATTTAAATTTAACGGTAGAAAAAAATAGATTTATAAAATGGCATAAGAAAAACTGGTAAAAATCGTTTATTGCAAATTTTAATGATAATATAAATTAGTTTAAAGTAGATTAAAACCAAATTTTCATCATAATATACAAAATAAACAAATGAATCGAATAGTTACAAATTATTTTTCTGGATAAAAAATATAGATTGATAAATAGGTTTATCAAGATTTTCGTATTATACAGTTAATATCACTAATAATACTAAAAAATGAATATATGTCTACGATCACTTAATCCCAACCTGAAAGTAAAATGTTAAAAAAAAAAAAAAATTTAACCCTTTGGTTTCGAAATAGTAGTATCGTATACCCTGATAAGACGTGCTTCTTGACCGGATTCGTTTTGAGAAAATGCAAAACCACGACTTTTTCGTAAGCGTTGTACTGCACGGACTTTTCGTATCGCTTTTTGGAATTGTTCCGCACGTGGACGATAATCTGGTATATTGAATTTTTGAATTTCTTGTATAGTATGATATGTTCTTGAACGGTACATGCGTTTTACACTAATTAAACAAATAAATATTAGTAATTAAATATCATCATCTAAGATATATTGTTGTCTATGAAAAAATAAAATATATGAATAATAAAACTTACTATTTCCATACGTAGTCTCGCAATAAACATATAACTGGAACCAACAAGACGAATAAATAAAATATGGGACTTGTGAACAATCTAGGAATAACGCCATCATATTCTTCCGAGACTCTAAATCTTGGTGCAATCATGCCATAAACAAAAATAAAGACCATCCAAAAAACAAATGATCCAGGAATAGCAATATATGTGTATTTCGTCCATAAGCTATGTACATAAAAATAATAAATTAATAAACATCAATAGAAATGATTTAATAATTGAAAAATTTTTTTTGTACATACTCCGTTATTAATGCAGCTTTCCCTAAAACGGTTGCTAAAACTGCCGTATACAGTGCCGTGCCCCAAAACCAATGACCTGCCACTTGTCCATTTGTTAAAATCAAGTCATTATGAAAAATGTATATTGATACCCAATACAAAATCTAAAAAGAACAATGTTAATTCCAAGATTAAGGAAAAATAAAATAAAGTTTACACAAATCTTACCAGTGAATGAAAAAAGGCATTGAACGCCCATCCCCAGAAATTTTTGACATTAAACTGCAAAAAATCATAATGATCAACAAAAAAAAAATTGACATAAAATCATGTTGACATAAAACAAAAATTACACACGAATTCACTCTTTTGCCCTAGTGCGTACAGTTGAGGATACCGATCCAACATTCTTGCGCTTACGAATTGATCAAACACACCCATAATTATCGGTGGTAATACAGTAAATAGAACGTTGTAATATGTGATAGTCCAGGACTCGTATATCACTTGACCAGAAAATCCATTATGGAATGCGTACTTTTAAACATAATAATTTTAAATATAATTTTAAATATAATTGATATATAATTGATATGATGTTGATAAGCAAAATATATATACTTTAGGCGACTTACCCAAAATTGAGTCATATACAATGTTATATTTTTATAGAATGAATATAAAATCAATTTGCTTAATCGTTGATAACTCCATGCACCATGAACTAGTAGTAGTTTTTTTAAATATCTAAATTGACTGATTGCTACATCAGCACTACGAGCTGCTTGCATTCCTTCAAGACCACTAATTCCAACACCAACATGAGCTGCTTGAATCATTGGAACGTCATTTGCACCATCACCAATGGCTAAAAGAATGGCTTTAAGATGACGTTTCACTAGTTTTACAACAAGTGCTTTT